CAGCCAAACTATGCAAAGCTCTTTGATCTCAAAGACTCTCCAACTGCAACCCAGGGCCAGAGATAGCCACTGAGATTAGCTGGCAAATTGTTTCTTATAAGAAATGATTCCGAAAAATCACCTGCTGTCTACACACACTTTGGAGAAGGAAACAAATGAATTTTGTTAGGTGACGTATTTGCTCAGCCAGGGAAAGTGTGGCCAGTGCAAGAATTCTTCCATCCACCCAGAGCTGGCTACACAGGGGGGCAGATCGGCATAACTCTGTCTCTCAAGAAGGGTTGGATTTTTTGCACCCCGGAGAGATGTAGCTGTGCTGCAGTAAGTTCCCAGAGTAAATCAGCCCTTAAGTGAAGTGAGTTTGTCAGGTGTGAGACAGGAGTTGTTTGCGAAGAGCAATGAACCCTGCCCCTGTTGGTACCAATGAGGCTCTGTGTCACAAAAAAACCAGAAAACTGGGGTCAAAGCAAAATGAAAACCATCAATCAGGGGCGGATGAGAGTTTTGCGGGGCCCAAGGCAGCACAATTTCTCTGGGCCCCCCTTTGGAGAAAAAAATAGAAAAAAGGCATCAAATGCACAAATTGAAGGCTATTTTCATATTAAATGTGAATTGGGTAAATGCGATAAACTTAATTTAGTTGGATAATTTTATTCTAATTATATTGTAATTCATTTTGAAACAAAATTCTGCCTTAATAAAAAGGGGGGGGGATGTCCAAATGTTGAGCAAAAAAAGTGCTCTCCTCCCCCCCCAAAATAAACATGGCACCTTTAAATCTCACACTCCCCACCCCCACCAGACATGGCAGGGAAGGAATATCCCAAGTGGCTTTCCAGCTGAGAAAAAGTGGAAATCCCAGACATTTTACTGGTCCGGTATTTTCTGGGTTTTTTTACCTGACAGAAGCCACAAATACTGGACTGTGGGGGCCAATACCTGACACCTGGCAACCCTCGTGCTAACTCCAGCCTGCATGTACACTAGGCCAAGGACGTCAATTGGGGGATTTTGGCCTCTTCCCCACTTTGGAAAAAGGTCATAATGTGGGGGGAAGGGTTGTAAATCGAGCTGTTATAAAGCAGGGACCTCCTGTATTTGTGGGGGGGTGGGAAACCTCTCTTGGGCTAGGGGACACTGATCGCACAGAAAACTCAGCTGGGGACCACACAAGCAGGCCAGGGACCAGCAGGCCTGGGGGGGTCTGGACTGTGCCCCAGGGAGGGGGTTGGGGTGCAGGGTCTGGGAGGAGGGTTATGTGGGTGCAGATATCGCAGTGGGAGTGGCCACTTACCTAGAAGTGCCGCTCGCCCGTTTCTCCCACAGGCGCTGCCTGGCCATGTGCTGGGGGATTAAAAGCCTGAGGGGAGCGGTGATTGGTGGGTTCCCGCAGCTGCCATTGTCCAGGTCCAGCCAATGGGCTTGTGCGGGGGGCGGAAGCAGCTCTGAGGGACCCTCCCCTGCCGGCTCGCAGCTCCTGCACCACAAAGGGCCCTGCCCAGCTGTTCTGTTCTGTGTGGGGATGGGGCTGTACTATTTTGAGGGCATTTCTTCTTCCCTCCCTCTCTCCGTTTAGCTGCCTCAGAATAACATGAGGCTAGTGCACATGGGGGAAACTGGAGTCTGTCAAAGACCAATAGTTCTACCAGTCAGTACTATGCATATGCAAAGAGCAATAGTTTTTTCAGGATATGCAATACATCAGTGGTTCCCAATCTTTTTGGGCTTATGGACCCCTTTTTAATTTATTACAATTTCTCAGACCCCTCTTCCTGGGGAAGAAAGGAAAAAGAAAAAGGAAAAAAAATGTAAGTGCCATCAATACTTTTTGTCCTATAGAAAAGTAAAAACTTTGTTCTTAATCAAACGGTTGTTTTGACAACATCGATGTTTTATTTCACTTTTTAAATGGTTTTGATTTACTTTTTTAAATAAAATTCAAGGGCTATTGTGCAATGAAAGGTGGTTTTGAACCAAACCACTGAAACACGCTGATTTCGTTCAGTGCGGTTCGAAGGGTTTATTTCAACCAAAGCAATTCAGGAAACCAGCAGAAGCGTTTACGTGTCACTGTCTCTGCTCTTTTTTCACTGGAAAGTTTCATACTAAAAGCTGCCTGACTCTGGTCCCCAGCCTCCCAGCCGCCCTTGCGAGGGTTCACTCGTTGATATCCGGGCAATGCTCTACACACGAAAGATGCTACAGAAACGCTAAGGAGTAGGGATGTTAAATATCGGTTAATCGAATAGTCGAGTAACCTTGTGAATTCTTTTCGGTTTGTCGACTGTTCTATAGTCCCCGGGGGTGGGGCCAAAAGCCAGTGCGCTCCGGCCCCACTCCCGAGGAGCCACCTGCCACTCTGTGCTGCTGCCTCTGTATCAGAGGCAGCAGCATGGGATGCCAGGTGGAAACTGGACCACAAGGGGAGCCAGTTTAAAAACCAGCTCCCCTCACGGACCATCTGCCTGTCGCCCGGCGCTGCTGTCTCTGATATAGAGGCAGCAGCACAGGATGGCAGCAGCCCCTGTCTAGGGGAGGGGCTGAGCTTCCAGACCCGGCACGAGCCAGAACTGAACCAGGCTCCCTGCCCACCTGGCTCTAATGCACTTTAAATGCAGAGCCACAGCGAGGGCAGGGCCCAGACCCAGAATGACCCAGGACTGAGCTGGGCTGCTGGCCAGCCTGCTAGAAATGTAGGGGTAGGGGGGGATGTGTGTAGCCTAGAGCATTCACCGGAGCTTTTGCTTATCGGTTAATCGACTCCGCTGTTACATCCCTGCTAAGGAGGCTGAAGTGCCTTGGAGCACGAGCAGCCCAGGGAACGTTTGCTGCCAGTGGCCTGCAGCGTGTTCTTCCAAAATTGGGATTGGTCCTGCCTTGAGCAGGGGGCTGAACTTGATGACCTTCTGAGGGCTCTTCCAGCTCTGTGCTACTATGATACTATGATACTAAAATGACCGCCTGCGCTTTTCATACAGTCCCCATGTGAACACGCTCTAGAGCAAGCGTCAGGCACTGTCCCAGGCAATGGGAATTTCGCCATCAATGTCTGCATGATGGTTATTTCCTCCTTGTCTTCTCACAGCAGCTGGGAGCCCTAGTCATGGAGCAGAACGCCGCTGTGCAAGGTGCTGCACAAATGGAGAGCCTGGATTGCTGCTCTTGTTCCTAGTGTGTGGCCAGGGCAAGAGGAAATGGGGCTGCTGCGTGTCACAGACATGGTACCTTACACACAGGGTGCAAGGAGCAGGGGGGCGAAACCAGGACTGTGCTGTCTCGTTCTCCCTTGGTGAGCTCTTGGTAGAGTTCCTAAGATCCACACTCCCCTGGGCCAGGCCACAGGTGCCGCTGCCAGGCCAGTCTCTTCATGGGCACCTCCCTGGGGTAGGGGGTGCACAAAGCTCGGTGTCCATGAGATGAAGCCGTGAGACACACAGATCCTTGCCCAGCGCAGCTGCACCCTTCGCTAGAACAGTGCAAAACAAAGGCAGAAGCCGCTGCCAGGCTTTGCCACTGACTCACTCTGTGGCCTTGGGAAAGCCACTTCAGCCCTGATCCCCAAAAGTCCTTAGGTGCCTAAATGTCTGAGCACCTGGTCCTACCTCACTCTGTGCCTCAGTTTCCCCAGCGACCAGGCTAATGATGCGGCATTGTGGAGTATGGAAGAAAACCCCCTGGTGAATGCTAAGAGCTATGAGCATTGGCGTGACACTCAGGGGAGGTGAGACCTGGATGCCTGAGTCTTTTCCTGCCATTGCTGTGGGGGTGGGTGGGGGAAAATTCTCTGTGCCTCACTTAACCGATCTGCAGAGTAGGACAGACCTGCAGTGCTGGGCCTGGAGCTGCCCGGGGCTGATGGCCAGGACTTAGCCTGAGTTAAATTAAGAGCAGGAAATGCACCGGGGAGAAGGATCCTGATCCCCCTTCAGCCCACGTGGGCCAGTGCAGATCACTGAACACCGGGCCCTCACAGGGCTGCATTCACCGGGAGGGCAAAAGCCTCCGGGCGTCAGGCAATGCCCCAATGCTTAGGGGTGCCCTGAGGAAGCTGAGCCTGCCCAGGTCTCCACGTTGGGACTCTGACCAACCGCTGAGCTTTTTCACATCACTCTCCTGCTGGGCTCCTGTTCAGATGGAGCTGGGTGGGGTCGCTGGCTCCCCACAGCCAAGCCTGTGCTGGGGGTCAGGCGCCGGGCACCGCTCTGAGAGTGGGGCAATAGGGGATGACAGGCCCAGGAGGTAAAGCCCCAAGCCTGAGGGGTGCACTCAGAGAGGCAGCAGCCTCGCACCATGGCCCCTCCTTGCCTGCTCCCGGGCGTGTGGCTGCTGACGGTGCCAGATATGGGCAAATCCTCGCTACCCAAGAGAGCCTGGCTCTGCCCTCTCCAGCCCTGAGCTAGGACGGTGGGTGGAGCAGGGCAGAGACGTGGGAAGAAGCGGATTTGTGCCACATTCCCTGAGGGCTGACAGGAGAGATTTCCAACTCCCCTGACTCAAAGGGCCCTGGGGGACTGTCTGCGGGCTCTGGTCGGGGGAAACCAGGCAGCCAGGCCCTGCCTCGCTGGCTGTGCCTCGCTTTCCCATCTGTAGCATGGGCATAATGACCCTGGATTTCCCTTCCCAAGGCCCTGCACATCTTGCCTGTTGGACTGTGACTCAGGGCAGGGGCTGGCTCTCCCTGCCTGG